AATATTTGCAAGGAAACATTACGTTACCTGCTACTTTTTCCATAGCCAGATTGCGGATATTACCTGCATTGAAGATTCACAAATTTATAGAATAATGTTGACAACTCTTTTATGCATACAAGTATCGTTGTATTACTAATTACATACCTAATGGACCTCTACAGGTAGGACAGCAGTTAAGCTTTGGTCGACAATTACTACAAACAAGGTGTCCGCTCTGGCATTGTAAGATTGGTGGAAGAACGTAATCAAAGCAAACCGGACATTCAAATAGGCTTGCTAGGTCAGTTGAGCTGCTCAAAGATGATACAGTAGGTGCAGAGGAGCTTGCAACACTCCTCCCTCTCTTTCCTGTACTAATACTTAATTGGGACATCTTTTTTTTTTATTCTATGTATCAAACAAGAACACTTTGCAGTTTTGTTGACAAGAAAATCCGTTTATTTTGAAGATGTCTAATAAATGCGATGCATTTTGGAATGAGTCATCCACCTCATATCTGTAAATAATTGTAATTTCAGTAATGTTACAAAATGTTATACGTGTGTAAGCAATAAAATCATTTTATCTCAGCATTTAAAGAATTCGTTGAATTCTACAACTATACCTTTATATAATATAGAAATTATTTTAACATGTTGAAAAATATATTTATAATACACATTTATTTAATCTTGCAATGTGTAAAGTTTGAAGAAAGACTATATGTTATCAAAGTGTTGCCATATTTTACCCACATTAAATAATACATTTTTGTATTATATGTATATTACTCTAAAAGCACGGTATATGATTAATAGTATCTTGAAAGCTTGTAATTTATTCACTTACTAAATGATTCATAATTACATAAGACTAAAATGAACTTTGCAGAACATATTTTTTCTGCTTTCATATTTCTAATATTTATCAGAGTATGCTACATCCTGTCTTCCAACTATAAAGAACAATATACTATAAACACATTGTACATATTTATGTCCATTTGACATTGAAGTGATGCAACATAAATTCTGGTTAAAGCAAGCTTTGCTTTGTTTTCACTCGATCAATTTTTAATTAAACAATGCTATATTGAAATTTATAGCAGAAAATGACTTATAATGTGATTATAGTAAGTACTTGGAATATGTATGTATATCTCATAATAATATATCACAAATATACACTTAATTAAAACATACCCATATTTCTTATAGTACATTTTCATTTACCTAAATAATTTTATTTGAAAACAGTACTGTTAGTTCGTGTAATTCAATAGACACTTCATGTATGTACCGTTCACATTTTTTACCAAATCCTTTGATAAAACAAACAAGGCAAAAAAGAAACTACTTATTGAATTTTCCCAACAGGACATAAGAATATATATACTTCACTGAAAGATCAGTTTATCATCAAGGGTTCAATATTCTCACAAGAAAACGTGTTTATCAATAAAGTAACAAGAGTAACGAAGATTACGTCGCATCGATCGCACAACCATTTATCGCGTGCGCGTTAATTATCATTCTTTTCGATGAATCTGCAGAGAAAAGGTTGACAAGTTTCCCTCAAGGAACTTAACAAATTTTCAAACGAGATCGTATTCGCGGGTTGTTTATCCCGAAAAGTAGGAAACAAATGAAAAATCTAGCGGAACAATATCATGAAGGGAGTCACAAGTCACGAGTCGCGACGAATCAGCGATCAACAAATAAACAATGCGCGAGAAATGAGAGAGCGGGTGATTCTCTCGTGGAAAATTCCATGTAGGAATATGCAAAAGTATATAAAATTGTAGCTGCAAAAAAAATACATATTCAAACTTACCGGATTGACAAAGATATTAGTACGTCACTCGATGCATACACTGGTTTTCGCGCGATTGAGATCGGAAAATAGTGAGTCAAAAGTGCGAGAGAGGGAGAGAGAAGGCACTTGAGAGCGATGACAACGGAGATACGAACGAGAATGAAAACGTCGAGAATAACGACGAAGGGTGACACGACAATCGACGAATGTTGTTAAGAAAACAACAACAGGAGATTTCATGCGATTTGGCTTCGAAAATGTTGCACGAAATGCCCCCGATACTTCTCGGTACATCGATGAGGAATAAACGCGAACGCGATGAAATCGACTATGAAAGAGGCTACATCGCGAATTCTCTTGGCCAAATTGGCAGCATTAATTGTAACGTGACTTTTGTTAGTTTTTGCTGAGACATAGTAGCAACTCGCTCCTTTTCGAACTTTCGACACTTCAAGCCTCGTTCTGTACAATACGACGCACAGCAAGATGATGACACTGCAGCTGTCCGTCCGACCGTACGTCCGTCCGTTTACACCCATGCAACGCATGCAACTGCCATTAACGAGTATTAAGCCGCGTTCTCAATGCACTTCGTGTACGCTTGCGTTAACGTTATAAAACTCATTTTTATAAATAATACAAAGGAATATGCTACCAGTTCAAAATTTACAAGCCGAAAGTAAAGTAGTTCGTACATTTTCGTTTATTTGAATGATTCGACGCAATCTAGTTACATATAAATATACAAATGTCGTTAGTAAATTTCAAACATCCCCTTTATATTATCTACATTTTCATAAATACAACTTTCAACAATAGATGAAACACGAGATTGATTAATCGTACAACTACTTGTTCGAATTAATTTGCAACTTATAGGATGAGTATCGGTGTTTAAGTTTGTACATATGGACTTACATACGCATTTACTCCAAAATTACATTTACACGTCACAATTATGCAATTTCACTAATTCTACTCATAGTTAAAAAGAAGAATTTCTGATTATACTGAAAAAGTGAAAAATACAATATTGATAATGCGTAAAATTGGAATTTATATTTTTATTCAAATGCATTTTAAATCAGGATAAAGAAAGGATTTATATTTTGAATTATCAGTTTTTAAGATAATCATACAGATATTTTATGCCCGAATACATTTCTAATGTTTCATAAGCTTCCATTGAAAGAAGAATATCACAAAATAATTTTCAAGTAATGAATATTTTATTTTTTGTTATAATTAAAATATACACTGTGTCATGGGTGAAACAGGCGGATTTAATTTCAAAAGCACAATTAGCTTGGCTTAAAACTTTTTTTTTTCTTTTCGTTAAGAAAACGGCTAATTTTCCGTTGTGTATGTGTATTATGAAATCTATTTAAGCCAAACTGCCGATACTTTTGTAACATCTGAGAAAAACTTGAATGTTTAAAGCCTTATCAGCCTTGTGTGTAATATAATTTCGATGTACCTAAATGTAGTCCCACAATGCCATATCTACATTTGCTATAATTATTTTGTCATTTTTAATGTTTTTTAGTCCAGGAAATCACAAGATGTATTGGCTGTCAAATTCTCTAGTATTTGTATCATGACAAATGATACTCTACATATTAACAGTCTTCTTGCGATATGAAGAGCAGTCTTTGTACACCAGACAGGAACAACTGTTTGATGCAAATGCGAAAAATGTCACAGTAGCCTAAATTATAGTAATTTTTATTTTCACTAGTTTTGATGCCTTAAACATTCTGTTGATTCAGCGTTTGCCAAACTTTCTTTTTCCATGTAACAAGCCATAATTACTTTTGCCATATTTATACTTTTGCTTTTTATCTGACACAGGAGTACACGAGTGTAGCAACTTTTGAAAACGACTGATTGCATTAGTTAAGAGACTTTTTAAGCTACATATTTTATTTTACTTAAAACGTCAGGGTACACAAGGAAACAAAA